ATACATATATAAAAATTTGAACGAATGGTGTTTTTGGCCTCTGGGGACATTAAAATGAAAAAGTAAATCGGTCCCGGGCCTAAGTCTTACCATGAGACCTACGGTAATAGCTACTTCCCTATAGGGAAATTCGCTAAAACGGTTAAGAAATGGCGGAGGAGTTCAACCGACAAAGTTTCATGTAGCGTATTAATTATATAGATTTGTTTGTTTGTTTATAAAGTGGAATAGTAGCTTTACAACTAAAATGTAGCTTGAGAATTCCCTCTTTTTATTTCAAACAACAAATAATATTGGTTTCTTACTAGAGGAAATTCAAACATATTAAAAAAATTTTCAACCTCAATTTAAGTTCTTACACATATAAGAGAAATTGGAGGGAGCAGAACTTGATATCCTTGTATGAAATACTCGGGTATCCCAGTTTTTCATGATTTTGTTTTTTTTTATGTTTGATTTTCAGTTTGCTTTACACTTTTATTTTAATGTTCTAAACATCGATTGCTCCGTATCCTGGTGAGGAATTCCTGTTGGTAAGAGCCCGAGGAACTTTGCTATGAAGTTTCTGCTTTAAATCCCGTAAATCTCTAACGGCTTCTAGTTATATGATAAATCCTCGAGCAGGTGGTTGTGAGTCCTTGAAACTTTAATCCAACCCATAAAATATAAGACGAGGAAAACTATTTTTTAACACTACCTCCACCACTATACCACTAAAAAACGATATTCAAATTCCCCGTACCATTTTCTTAGTAGTTTTGGTTTCGTTGTGTCCAAAGCTGATTTTCACCAACAAGCTTGTCCATTTTCAAGCACTTTATGAGTACAATATTGTTGAGATTGACGAATAGAGTAAGTATTTAACTTGAAATTCTGAAAACAAAAGGCCCGGGAGGAGTAGTAGGGATGATAAAACACGAACTCGTAAAACGTGAGTTTCATCTTAAGTTGGCAACGTTTCATCACGTCGAGTTTTATCGAATTTGGCTTGTTTTAGTATTCGTGATGAATTTATGCTGCGAACCTTCTACAAAAGATTTAGTTAAGGAAGCCAATTTAAAAATTTTTAGTTAGGATCTAAATAAAAAAAAAATATTTTTTCAAAGTAAGTATTTTTTATTGAAAGTATAAAAATGATCAAGGAGTGATTATTTAGTTAGCATTTCACTCAATTAGCCTAGGTTTTTATAGACCATTGGCACATATATTTGATTCAATATAAGTAATCATACCTTCAAAACTTAGACATTATTTTTAGTGCAGGTATTTTAGTCAAAAGTGTAGCTTATTTAAACATATTATTCTCTGTATACTGCTCTTCTCGATAGATGGATTTAGATTTTATATTCTGATTTAATTTAGATTTGTAAAACATAAAATGTATCTTACATTTTCTCTAAATTACTCAATTAAATGAAAAAATTCAACCTTAGCCAACAACTGTTTGGTGGACGCTTATTTAAATCTGAACACGGTACAGCACATAACCATCTCAAAACTATTCAATACTGATTTATAAACGAGGAACAAAGAATAAGTATATGAGCGTGTGTTCTTTTGTGGAAATTCAACCTGACAATATGAACAGACAGACACGCAGTACGGTAACGGTCAATGGCTTTATCTCTGGCTGATATTTAACGATGTCCTCGTTTACGAGTTAACGATCTCTCGTTATGTGTGTCACATTGCTCTATAACCTCCATATCAACGTTTGTGTTGTAATATTATACACAAAAACCCTTTTCATCAGTTGAAGATTTTCCATGGTTAAAGAATAGCTAGCTAATCAAACTGGATATATTATATTTAGTAAATTATATAAATAAATAATAAATTATATATAAGAAGAAATTTCAATTCAGATGTTTTAAATGTAACATAATTTTATTTGGTCAAACGGGGGAAGTTATATTTAATTCAAGGTCCTTAAATCATATTTAGATAGACTATTAAAGATAATGATTTGTGATAGTGTGACATTATTCGATTGTTTATTCCATCGATGCATATAGTCTAAATACATCGATGGCTTATTCCCAGCTCGTAAACTCGACATGTTACCATATAAAACACAATATTTTAGGAGACAATTTAAAATACCTTATCTTCCAAAGAAATGTATTAACTTCGCTGTAAGGAGTTCACTTAAAGATTGTGATCAAATATTCATATATTTTTGTCCATTGGCTATAGTAACATATACTGTAGGCCTATATTGTTTCTAATGTATATTCATAAATAGTTTGGAGTGAAATACTCTATTTACAACAGATTTGTCCATTATATCCAATTAATTAAGTGATTTGACGTTACTTCAACACACAAAACACACACTCTTAACAAAATCTATATGGTTAAACTGTTAACGGCCAATACGCCCATCGATGCACGCCAGATATAAAGGATGCCCATAAGATTGATGAGTACTAAACAGAAGGCATAAAAGTTGGTCATAAACTATACCATAAACTGCGGCCGCTAACTTATCATTGAAAGTAAAGTAGGTCGACCTGACCTGGTGGGAGTTTAGCTAACTTCAGCTTTGCACGCAAAACTACAGACCGCTTATAGGGACTTTGCACTTTAAGGGTGTTTGGTGGAAAATTTGATTTCGGATTTTTTGTTATTGTTCAATTATACAAAAAATTATAGATACAAATATACATGAAATATTTGTCTTATGTTGAATATTAAGGGAGATATGGAGCTTGAAAGTAGTAAATTTGTCATATTTTTTTACAATTCACAGGGAGAATGGGTAATGCGATTCTCGTCAAAATTTGCGTTCAGGTGTGAAAAAATAAGATAATTATCATTAGCTACCTATTTAAAATTAAAGTTTTTTTCTTTAAAAGTTTTTTTTTAACTTTAAAAGTGTTTTTATTTTTATAAAATTTTAAAAATAGCTGTTTGTCTTTGGGTAAAATTCATCTATATGTTGGATTTGTTTTAATGTGATATATTAACTCGTTTTGGCTGTGAATACATTAACACTATGTAGTTATTAACATAATGTAACATTAACAGAATACATTGTACGTTGTATTCAATAGCCCTGGCGTGAGTGTACACACTCCCAACGAGTGCGCTGCCTGCGCAAGGCATCAAAGGTACGAATTGACAGCCCAAACGAGTTAACATTTCGCATTTAAAAAAATCCAACATATGGATGAATTTTACTCAAAGACAAATAGCTACGTTTAAAATATAAAATAAAATTAATACTGCATTTTTTTAAATTTTGTGAAAAAATCTAAGTTAAAAAACTTTAATTTGAAATAGCTAATGATTATTATTTTATTTTTTCACACCTGAACGCAAATTTTGGTGAGAATCGCATAACCCATTCCCCCCTGTGAATTGGTACCAAATACGACAAATTTACTACTTTCAAGCTCCATATCTCCCTTTATATTCAACATAAAAAAAACTTCTTAAATATTTGTATCTATGCAGTAATTTTTTTAGTATACGCTAATTGAAAATAACAAAAAAATCCGAGATCAAATTTTCGACCAAACACTCTTAATAGAAAAGGACCAGATATTGAAAGCCCAACAGCCCAACAATAAAGACAGTTGGGTTGCTAGCCTAGGATAGCCACATCTATATAAATAATACCAAAAATGTTAGTATAAAATTTAATAATGTTTGCCTTATAGTATGAATTAATCAACTATGAAGAAATTCCTCCCACTTAATTATGTCACCCTTTCAGGTATTGTTACCAATTGCACAATAACCTATAAAGTAATATATAGGTCAGTACACATGACAGGCACACATCTAGTATTACATTAGCTGACATGCAATACTGTTTTGTAAATTAAATGAAACATGTTTATGTAATATCATTGTTCTACAAAGTGCATATAATCTCATTATCTTGGTATGGAAGCTGTATTAAATAGAAACGAATAAAAAAGTCTGCATTAAAAGCTACATGAATAAATATCGTATTGTTTTAAACTTTAATTTAGGTTTTATTGTTTATTGTATGTAGTTAAAACAATATTCAACGTATATGTGTTTGGAATTTGAAAATTTATTAAACAAATAACTATAAATAAGTAGTTGTTAATGGTAATATTCTTGTTTAACTGTATTTCCTACAACCCTGCACCAGGAAACTAAAATAAAATTTATATTATACTGTAACTGTACACAAACCATTGCTACTTGTTAAAACACTTTTTGAGTTGATTTTGATAAGCTTATTCCCAGGAATAATTAATTAATTTGTTTCAACTTCTTCCTGAAATCACAACCATGGATCAAACTAAATGAAACCAAATAATGGCAAACGTAAAATTAACCTATACACATGTATTTTCCGCAATTGTCAAGAAACATCCGTTTTTATCAAATTGTCCTAATTTGTTTACACAAACCACTATGAAGAGGGTATGAACGAGATGTTGCATTTCTTAATACACTACAAAGAATAAAAGTTGCAAGTTCTCAAACAGTTACTAAGATGTAATCTCAATTCAACCATAGAATTATTACGTAGTCTTTGGTTCAACGTTCGCTCATATTCGCCTTAAATCACACTCGCTTCAGTGTCAGCGATTTCAAAAGCTAATTTAATCTTATATTTTTTTTTTAACAATGAAAGAAAAAGTATGTTATTCAACCATCAGTACACAAGAATTATACTATAATCATCAATAAGAAAAATACCAGACTCTTAAACTATTCTAGATTTATGATAGGGACGATAAACAATTGGTAACTGAGATAATTATAATTCTCTATGCTTTATTGAACCACTTTTAAATTTAATTTCAACTCAAACTTAATTTATGGCTATCAATGCTCAAAATGTAACATGTATCTTACAATATATTTGCAGTGTTTACAAGTAAAATATTTAAAGCAGCTCGCAACTGAATTGAAACTTTTCTGTACAATGGTGTGTTCTGTTTTGCTTGTATTTTTGAAAATGGTAAATTTAGTATTTACGTATAATGATCAATTTTGTTTACCACCAATAGGCTGAGACAGAACATAGAATCAACAGTGTAAAGTGCAATAAAGACACAAAAGTGACACTAAAGGTGCAAACAAGGAAACTTTCCATCGACTAATTCAGGACAGAGGGAGACATCGCCAACTTTCATGTAAGTGTATTTTTATTTATATAGATTATAGATATATATAGATCTTGATTTTGCAAGGCCCAAAACTTACAATATTTGTTTTTTATTGTTTAATTTATTAATGTGTTTTCCTTTTGTAGTTGGCATTTAAAAATATAAAAATTCAAATTTAATTTTTAGTGTTTAAAATAATTCCTACAATGATAGTTCATATTATTATTTTATTTCCACTATTGCTAATTCTTAAGTAACTATAAAAAAAGAACAAATCCATATCGAATGATCTAATATTACACAAAAGTATATCCTTCATTACTGTTTATGTTAACATTGATTATAGAACGGTAAATATAGAAAATTAATGGATAGAGCTTGGACTTCATATTTGTAGGTTATACGTTTTTAGAATACTACGGTTAAGTAGCATGAGGATTAAATGTTTTTTAATTCAAATATTAATTAGGTATTTTTGTCTGATTATCCAAGGTCAGTGGTATACTACTTATATTTCCAACCCTGTGGGGGATACACTCCATGTCAAGTGTTGTTTGAACTATTTTGACGGATCTGACCACTTGGGAACATAAACAACTTTTTTAAGACTTAAAAACGGCCCCAGAAGGTCTAAAACAAGTTAAGGCCCTTCAGTTCAATGACCTTGGATAAGTAGTCAAATCAAAACAAAATATATTATATGTTCTTAATACAAGAAAAACATGAATATACATACTCTACGAAACAGTTTTGATCTTACTAGTTGCGAAAAATCAGCAAGTACGTACTGTAATATAAACTACTATAGTTAAATGATCCAGAGACTATACCATCGTGCAGTCGTTTAAATAAGTAGTTATGCACCATTATGTATCTTGTGGTTATTATATTTGGATTTTTTTATTAAGTTCTAAACTGATCTATAAATATTTCTTCCCACTAATTTTCTGTAAGGACAAAGTCATTTAACACATTTTTCTAAACTAAAAAATTAATTAAACCAAGTGTCATTTTTATTTACATGGATTATTCGTAGGGAAGTGAAGGAAGGTAATTGACCCTTCCCCACGATGGGTGCTAATGAAATTCCAGATCTGCAGACATTCAGGAATGCTACTGTCATTTTGTAAACCAGTAGAATCTTGTTTCTGGCGCTATCAGTTTAGCTGGTTAAGATTTCACATTCTAGAATATTTTTGGAGACATCCATAACATTCATTTTAGAAAGTTTTAAAACTGTAACTGACAATGTGAATTTCTTTTCACATGTTACAAACATAATGAACTAGCTTTCTTCCTGTTGAAAAAATATAAAACTAAGGTAGGTCAATTATGATTGTATTTTTAAATTTTACTTGTCTTTTTGTGACACGTAAGATGTTTGACTTGTCCAAAATATTTTAAACTTTTTCACCTCTTGCTAATCAAATAAAGAACCCGTTATTTTTTTCAGTGCTTTTAGAGTATTTGACAAATTACAACTGTACTTGGTTTTTAGCGAATTTCCCTATAGGGAAGTAGCTATTACCGTAGGTCTCATGGCAAGACTTAGGCCCGGGACCGATTTACTTTTTCATTTTAATGTCCTCAGTGGCCAAAAACACCATTCGTTCAAATTTTTATATATGTATATATATATAGGTATATATATATATATAGATTTATATATATATATATGTGTCCGTGAACACGATAACTTGAGTAATTTTTATCCGATTTTGATGAAATTTGGTTTGAAGGTGTAAGGCGGGATAAACTTGAATGAGTTCGCGATCCAGCATGATCGGACCATGGGAACAGGGTTTTATTGGGGGTTTTATGGGGTAAAAATTGGTTTTTCTCACTTCTTACCCTCAAAACACAAAATTTCCCAATTTTTCTCTAAACCTTCTTAAAGAGCTTAAAAAAACAAACAATTCAGTATATCAAAGTGTTTTTGTACGGTTATTGGTTACGGAGAAAACTAAAAAAAATGGTAAATTTAAAATTCCCATGTTATTCTTATGGAGAATATTGTAAAATGTTGTAGTTTGCTTGTTTATGGATATATTTTGATCAAACTTGGCAAATTTATTTATTTTATAGTAAGCTGTCAATATTTTACTAAAAACACACTACTTTATTAGTTTCCTTGTAGCAGCAAACCTAGGTACTCGTTAAACCTAATGTTATTTAAATAGATCAATTGAAAATCAATTCGGCCAAATGGAAATTCGCTTAGACGGCAGGTTTGCTGCGGCGGGGGTATTTTCATTCTCTAACCTCATTTGTGTTTAGTACTAGTATATGACCTTACAATAATAGTTTACAGTTAATTTGTCTCTCTTGTATCCCTTTATATGTTTTCTCTGAAAAAATAATGTGCTTGCACACTGTAGCGTGAAAATCGATAATTATTTACCCAACATAATAATATTATGGTAACTAAATTATCATTCCTGCACGTATGTTTATGTACATTGTGAACATGATTTGCATGCCATAACCTGAAAGTGTTCAATAAATTTAGCAAAAATTGTGTACTTATTTAACTTATAATTTTTATAATTTTACTATAATCCGCTAAAGCAAGCAAAAAAGAATAAATAAAAATGAATAAATGGTATATTTAGTCCTACATTTAATTTACCATTTATCCGTTGTATAATTTATACAATTTTGCTTTGATATTACCCTTTATTTAATGTTTTAAAATCTCGTAAATATTTGGCTTCTTTGGCAATTTTGTAACATATACAAGTAAAATAACAATAAATCGTGTCCCTTATTGTCTGTTCATTCTTATCTGGAATCGGTCCTGAAAGGAAGTATGTCACTGAGATAAGAGACAAGGAGGTTGAAGCAAGTTGAAAAACAATTTATCTCTTTTTGAACTGTGAAAGAAGCGACGTGTAATCCGTCAACCTGAAAGGGCGAACGTATTTCTCAACCTTATAAAACATAAACGAGAGAGATGGTTTTCCTTTTCAACGTAATATTTACCAAATTGAAAACATTAACTACAGTTGAAGCTATTAAAAATATGCAATGTGTGCATAGTTTTAAATAATTTTTTTTGTAAATAATTTGTAATTTCACAAACTTAAAAACATGTTTGAAATATTGATACATTCAAAAGAATTAACTTAAAAAAATTAAATTAAAACAACGTTAGGTATTTTCAAATAGTATTGAACTAAAACCCCATGAATGGAAATTATGCTAAATGCCCTTTTTAAACTCTATTAACTATCCCTAAGATGGAAATTCCATTCGGCCAATGAATTCTCTTTAGGCAACTTATGACAATTTTGAAGCAATCAAAAATAGAAATAAAAATAATAAACTAAGTTTATTAAGACCAGACACACACATGATCTAAAAGTTAAAATAGCCTTTTTTATTATAAAATGCAATAATATCTTGTCGAGCTGATTTTGATACGCTTGTTAATTTAAACTCAAATCAATATTTATACGAATATTTGTACAGCCTGATAGTTTTCTAAGCCGTAATAGGTTTAGTAAAAGGGCAAGAAGCAATACAAGTGGTGTTTTGTATACTTGAGATGAAGCGATATGGGGTAGGGCGAGAGGGGGCTGAATTTGAAGGGTGAAGTCCATCGATTGATTGCAACATAAGACCAAGCTGTTAACACTCTGTAGCGTGGCATATAAATATTTATTTTGGGTCGTAATTTCAACAATTTTACAGGACGGATAGTTCAGCTCATTTAGTTAATGATACTTATAAATTTTAAAGTTGTTAATAGAAAATGCAAAATCCCTCACAATATATCAGTTCTCCTTGCCAAACCGGCTAAAGTATGTAAAATTGAAGCTACTGTAATTATTTTTCAACATACTGTATAACTGTTTTAACTGTATTCTTTGTTTCCAAATGCATGCTTTTTAAATCTATCTGGGTCATCTACCTATATATTACTAGGCAAGTATGTTTCTTTAAAACCTTTTTTCTCAGCTCGTGTACATCGCAGGGAAAATCTACGCATATTGTTTGAAAGATATTAGGCCCATGTTATTTTTTTTAGTTTTAAATATTTTTTTGTTTATTTTTGAGCTTATTTTAATTTGTAAAGGGAAGCACATATACAGGAAAATATCTTTCTAACAGTATCCGTAGATTTTCCCTGCGATGAACAAGAGCTGAGAAAGTGTTAAAGAAACATACTTGCCTATTAATATGCTTGCCTACCAATTTATAGATAACGTTTATTAGACTCGTTTTACTGTCGTATGTATAAGATTATCGCATTTGTTACACAACAGTTAACATCCTTTCAGTATAAAATCAGCTATTACCTATATTTCTGTATAGTTAAAATAATAGAGAAACTATCAAATTTAGGCTGGATATGAATGTTTATCCCAATTATTTTCCCCCCTAGAATCACTTTTTATTACAACTTTTGGATACCAAAAATGTCCATGATTTAAGCAATTAAAAGGTTTTGGTTTTTTTACCAAAATTTTGAAATATGTACAGTTTCATTGCATTTTCATGTACTTCATTGTTTATCTAAATAAAGATTGCAGTAAAAATAATGTTTCGGCAACCAACTTATCTTGAATGTCCACTTAACAATCTTATCTATATGCTCTTGGAAGTTCCTGCACATTACAGATAGGCAATGTCAGCTCAGTATCAACATTGCATTCCATAAAATGTAGGGGCGACTACTATGAAATAGTAGACATGATACAGTTCTTGTTTCTTCTGCGGTGGAACTCGTAGTAATCTCAACGATAGCACCTACTTATATTCAATGATAGTGACCTACTTCCTTGCAAATTTGTCATCCTTATAGATCAGGATAATTTTGAGTTATTTTCCCCTTAGTAAAAGTTTTTTTTATTTTTCAAGTATAGGCTATTTTTCAAGTACTCATACGTATACCAACTTAAAAATCTTTTAACCAAATAAAATTATGCATTTATAAGCTATCACTTGTCTTCTGTTATTTAGTTAAATTAACTGTATTTATGCAGTAATTCTCTTATTTGTCTATAGAACAGTTGAAATAATTGTTTTGTATTAATTTCCAAGTATTACAAACTAAAAAAAATAAAAGAAAAAATTAATTATTGCTGTTTTATTTACTCATTTAAAATAAAAAATTAATTATTGCGGTTTTATTTACTCATTAAATTGTTAAAACAAATAAAAGGATCTAAGGAACACAAAAGCATATTTTTAAAATTTCATATTATAAAATTTCATAAAATACCGTACTATTGAATTTGACTCATAAATTGGTTCATTTTTGACATCTCTCTTGAAACACATCGTAACCTTGATTACCCATTGATATGAAAGCTTCCTCACCATTATTGATAACTCATAGTTTATCAAACTAGTAATAATAAATCAGGTTATTGATTGACCTATTTCATACCCCGAACTACATCATTGCAAAAGCTTTTATGTATCGAAGCATTAAATATGCTGTGGAATTTTGTTTATGGTAGATAAGTCAGTTTATTTTTAAATCCATGTCACAATTGGACCTAAGCAATTTTTATAATTTCTATGTAAGAATAAAGTAGCTAAATCAGTAAACAAAATCCATACAAACATACTCACAGCTAAGCCAACATTATAAAGTCATTTGATTATCATGCAAATTGCCACGTTACCAGCTGGATTGTGAAAGTGTTTAGGGAATTGAGAATAATTACAACAATGTTTATAAACAACTGTTGCCAGCTCCTGAAGGATCAGGAAATTCCTGTTATCTTTAGTCAATTATTCTAAAACAGTTTTGCAGTGTTGTTACTAAAATTCGTTCATGAACCTTATTTATTTATTTCTCCTTTAAACCAGGGTTTTCACGTTTATCTGAAAAATAGGCCTATTTGCAAAAACTAGATTGCCTTCAAACATTAATTTGAAAATTTGTATTTAAAATAATAGTTTAATTAAATCTTTGACAACTTGTTAAGTAAAATTAATTCAGGATTTTCTCGTGCTGTTCAAGTATCAATTAAATCTTGGCTAATTGGATGTGATTAAACATGTTGCTGTAGTAAGAACTGATTTGTAATTTATAATTGTTTTAGCTATGAACTAGATTAAAATGTACCCTAACTAATGATAATTAGAAAATACAAATTTAAATAAATGAAATTCCTGTCCTTGATTAAATTTGTTTTATTAATGAACTCTATAATTGTCTCAATCAGTTATAAGCTAGTTGAAAACCCCTAATTAAAATTAATCGGTAATGTTTTCCGTAGCATATTTTCAGGGCTTAACATATTGTTAAAACTGTTTTCATTGTTATTTTCTATATTATAACAATCATACAAGTTTGACTGTTCATTTAAATATTTTAATTTATTAACTTTTTAATTTGCAACAATCTTTACATTTGTTTAAGAATTACTAATTTTCAAAAATTACGAATATAAATATGCTTTTTCCAACTGTTATTATTTTGATTACAAACCCTAATGAGTTTAAGGTGAACTAAAGCTGATTTCTTTTTCAGGATGCACTCCATGGGCTTACATTCGGCACTAGCCATCAAGCGTCAGCGCAAACGAAGAGAAGAGCAGAAGAAAGCGAGAGAGAGACGATACAGCACACAGTCCACGGAGAGTGGGCTCGGAGAGAGCCGCTCATCTTGTGCGAGTCCTCGCAACAGTATGGGTAGTCTGGACTACCGCAAGGGGAAAAAAGGGCAGAAGAAACCTAGGACAACTCCTCCAGCTCACGACAAAGTAGTCTCGACCGTAGGGATGCTGCACATTGGCGTCGTCTTCTTAGTCCTTGGAGCTTTTCTCATCGGCTCCGGTCTCGTTCCCGACGACATAGAACACTGGAAGAACCCTCCTGGTGGGTCGTACTTCAACGAAATCGTACTCGCTGGAATCTTCGCACTGGGTTTGGGCATTTTCTTGATCATTTTGAACGCAGTCCTAGCAAAAAAAGAGGAGGACGATCTCACTGCCTACGTAGAACGGCAATTGAACCGTACACGATCTGGACATAGACTGGTCAGAGATGTGGAAACTGGAAATTTAACCACCAAACACGAACAGAGAGCAAAAGAAGCCGAAGAGAAGATGTCAACATTGAACACAACACTGGAGGACATCACTCCGATCCATTTCAGTCCGACGCTGCGATCGCCACCTCCACTGTCAGCCTCGACCCCGAGATCAGACCTGGAGAGGATACTAGAGGAAGAGATCTCTGAGAAGGGAGAAGATGACAACCGGATCATGGAGAGATTCAACAAAGAAACACTTTCCAACAATAGTTCATCGGGAGCAGACTACGATACCAGAGAACTTCTACAAACAAGATACAACAATTATTCCAATCATAGATAAATGTTCATCTTCATCTCTAAGGAATTGTACTCATTTCCAGATCTCATGAAGAGACTATAACTTTCTACATCTCGTGAAGTTGAAAGCTCTAGATCTCAGGATGTGAAATCCAACACATCTATAAATATACAAATTATCTCTGAGATCTGATCTAGTGTAACGCACAGACTATCACTTCGGTGGATCTTTTTGAATTTCTTGTTTGCGAAATCTTTATAGCTTGTAGACCCACATAGAATATACTGTAGTAGTACTTTTGTTTCATTACATGCCTAGCTTAATTTAACCGCGCATAGTGTGCTTGTCAACTTGTCAGAGGTAGAGGCCGGCATGTATAGGGTTAAAGAAAGCATTTGATAAGTTCATGTCTTTAAATAGTTTTTATGATAATTATTTATATATCTGTACAAATTATATATATTATGTATTTTACTTCTGGAGAAATATTTTTACTCAATTTCTTACAAGTATTGTTTTGTTATTACCAGTACTTAATATACGATGACAATGTTTTTTAAATTTACCAACAATTCCATCACAGAGCAGTATGATATCTTACTTTTCTGTGGTTCTCTGGCAGGAGAAAAAAACAATACGCTTCTAAGGTACAAATAAATGAACAGATCATATGTTATGAAGTTGTTGATTCTTATGAAAATATGTTATTCAAGTAACAAATTGTTCTATCGTAAATTAAGATTTATCGTTTCTTGTAACTTGAAGTCATGTCATACAATGGCAAAAATTCAAGCTAAGTAAACTTACTCAGTGTTCTTTAAAGTTTTTTTTTAATTATCTTACACCACACTGATTTTATACACACACGTTTGGAGTTTTATAGTTTCTTTATCAGAAAACTCATCCTTAAAGAAAGGGCCATAACTTGAGTTAACAAGGGCAATGGTATTTTGATTTTATTTTAATATTTTATTAGAGGTGGCGATTGAATACTTCCATTGTTTTAAAATCTTGTCTTGATACAAAGTCCTTTTTATAATTTGATATGAACTAGCCTATGTTAGTAAATCATTTAGAAATAATATCTGTGATACGAAGTGTAAGAATTTTATATCTTCAAGATGGATTGCATACACATTGTTGACTTGCTGTTTTATTTGTGTGTCTATATATATGTAATTATCTCAGTGGCATTTTTCATATTATTTTCCCACAAAAAGATCAAAACCAGGTTCTGTTACTATCTTGTTTTACTTTGTACAATAGTTTATTTACCATGTTCTGGGATGATATTCAGGACATTTTAAATACACTCTAAGTGAATCCTAGACCGTCACACCAGCACAACACGCTGAACATTGTAAATAGTCCAGACTTCAAGTTACAATTACGTAGTATAGTAGGCAATGTAGTATGCAGAAACACTAGCCAATATTGATGATAAATTGATTTACAAAGTGGTCAAGTAGCTCCATAGACCTATACTCGAGTACGATTGCCTGGAATTATTAATATTGGTGATTGTAGTTGTATGTGATTGTGATTTTTCTTTTCGATTTTTACTGATAGATGAATGAAAACCATTAATCGGTCTATTGTATTATCTGTTTAATAAATATAAAAAAGTGTTTATTTGTTAAAAATGTAAAAATATTTAAAGCCCTAATAAAATCTTTATAGATGAGACTTATGATCCCTATTTATTTCCAGATCAAAAATACATTTTTTATAGTTACTATACAAATTTAGGTACTTTTGAATAATCATTTGTTTTATGCAGTATAAGCAATCAAAAATAATTCTTTTTGGTGATTAAATAAGGTGGGAGGAATTAATATTGTCGTATTCAGACAATGCACTATTTGTATATTCTGTTACAATACCACATTCAAACTAAGGCTAGTGGATTCTTTTATAAAATGTGACCATTCATTAAAAAAGTTACAGACATACTTTTTTTATAAAATTTTATGTATGTATGTATGTTTTTTTTTTACATTTTGACACACATTGCCTATTATACTATCTTAAATTATATAGCTGAATTTAACAAAAAGTCTATCAATGAATATATATATATATTTTTACATTGCCCCAGAGGCCGAAAGACAGGTGCTATGTTCCTATAACTATTGGAAAACATTCATTCCTTATAACATTTATAGTATTTCCTTATTTTATAATATTTATTTAGGAAAGTCCATTATTTGCGAGTGAGTTTGTAAGACATTGAAAGCAGCGTGAACTTAAAGAAAGTTAATATACAAGCTCTAGCTCTATATTGTTATTTATTATTGATTTTGTATTACAACTGTCATCATAATTTCCAATTGACAAGTTTGAATTCATAAATATATATTTTATAATCTCTTATTATATTTGTCTACAGTAATGATTGTACCAAAATAAATGCCTGTTGTAAGAGATTTATTTCATCATTATATACTAAGAAAAATTACTAATCCTTATATTATATTTGCAAAAGTACAAGATTTCGTGTTATTAACATTTAATTATGTTTGACTCCTAAAATATAATTTGATAATACAGGTACTGGTAAATATGGTACTGGTCTTGATGCGTATTAAATAAATCATTTTATGCTAGTAGTATTATGACGTGTTTTTATCTCCATCTTGTATAATTGTTAACTCATAGTAAATTACAACACTTACACCACTTATTGTAAGATTATATTTAGATTTTGTACATAATACTTCATTATTATGTAAATACATTGTTAACCTATAATATCCAAATATTGTTCAAATATGTTGTTACAAAGTTTTAAAGGTAGGCCTATTATGTTAAAACGGTTATCATAAAGTGTCAGTGACAATTTCTTAAATGCTCTAACAAATTACAAATAGGTTGCTGCGAAATACTGTCGTTCGTGTTGGATGATCAAATGAATCAAGAAAATATTGTTATGTAATCTTCAACTTAACGTTTTCTTATTATTTTACCGTGTATTTAAATTTCTTAATTATTGGGTTCTGCAACTTTTGACATATTCTTTGTTTTAAAATATTTATCGCTTTTTACCATTTATTTGAATTACCAATTAGGTTTAAGAGAAGATTTATTCATTTTTATTTGATTGTTGATATTGCAAAAACTATGCAACACAACTTAAAAGCACTTGAATTGCAACCTAAGTTAGTTTTGAATGGCTACGAAAGTTTCATTATATGTCCTTAGGTTTAATTTTGATTATTAACTATGTTGTTGAGTGAATTTAAGTTACAGTGGAACCTCCATACAAGACGTCGATAACAAGTCCCCTTGATAACAAGTGTCATTTTCAAATCCCCTTGAATTTATTTTACCCCAAATCACATTTTATTACAATCCTCAATAAGGAGTCAACCTTGATAACAAGTATCATTAACTACACTACTGTATAAAACCTATCAACTGACACATTTAATGCTTTAATTAAATCTTTAAGTTGTTGATATTTAACTAAAAAAACGTTGTAAATTTCACCTAGTTCGAATGATCATTTGGGTTATTTAAGACTCGAAATCAATCAATTAAGGACATTGTTGTAACATCGAACTTATCCATGCCGCTTGTACAACTACAACGCCAATGCACTATACTGTACACTTTACATATTTTCGTATGCACTTTCCTGTACATATATTTACGCACATTTACTCATTCACAGTGTATTATCAATACTCGACCAAAGCATTAGTGTTTAAAGTTGAATGTTTTAATGAGAATTTGGTTGTGGATATGTATGAAAGATTTATTAAAACATGCTTTTATTGTAAAACTACTGCTTCTTTAAATTGGACAAATTTCTCTAAAAATACTTTAAATTTCTGATTGTTTTTGACCAACGAAAACTGGTACATCTTAATCCCACCGTCCATTTAATACCAAATATATTTAAATTAGTAACAAATATTTAAATTTAAATGTTTGGTAATCTGAGTAAGGTGGTTGCCAAAGACTGAATCACATAACCATAATATGTTGTACGTTTTAATTTTAACTAATATAATGGTTTTAAATACCTTCAGTCACCAGTTCAAATTAGTCGGCTATTGCGACCTAGGTTTCGGCACGAAGTTGTACCATCATCAGGCGGGCCAGTTTTGAGTCTTCAGTCCAATGGACGTCGTTGGGTTAAAACAAATAAACAGTTCACGACATACAGCACAAACACACACACGAACACATATAACGAATAATACCGGTATTTACAGAAGGACGACATTATTGTAAGTTCACCGGCCGCGACGGGTGACATTGTTTTAACCCAACGACGTCCATTGGACTGAAGACTCAAAACTGGCCCGCCTGATGATGGTACAACTTCGTGCCGAAACCTAGGTCGCAATAGCCGACTAATTTGAACTGGTGACTGAAGGTATTTAAAACCATTATATTAGTTATTATAACCAGTTCAGGGGCAATCCCACATCTTATGATGTCAAAAAAAAGTTTTAATTTTAATACATCTTTTACTTTGTTGTGTTTACAATTTGGGTAAAATGAAAACAGTTAGTAACCATTGATGTAATTGAACACTAAATTACATGTTATTGTTCATGGTAATTTAATATTTATCCATGAAGAAACAGCCTCTTAATATTTATCGATAAATTGTAATAATGTTTTATTTTACAAACACTATTCAATAGATGTTCTTATGTGAAGATACTTAATTTTTACCTATACTGTATTTTAAAAATAAGTTCAATTCTTTACCTACAACCATTTTTTATAATTTGTTAAACCACAGACAAGTTAAACACTTGTGATTCATGTACCGGTATTTGCTTAGGTAACACATCAGTTTATGGTTGGAAATTAGGTTAAGTATTAATTTTATAGTAAATGTGGGGATATATCACAATAATTGCTTATATTTCACAGTTAAGCAGCTCACATGTCACATCACTGTACTTATGTGCAATGGAGGTGTACAGCTTATTGAGAGTTGAGATGAATTTTTAATTTGTGATGAAATTTCTTTTATTCTCACAAATTTCTTCTGAAAAATCCTATGTAGAAGTATGTTTCTTATTCCCTGCTTTAGCTTAAGACTGAACCATGTATGTAACTGCATTACACTAAGGCTTTAACTTCGCCCTTCTATTTTCATGTGGTTTAAAAATGTTAGGTGTTTTTTCAATGTTTTACATCCATGTTTTAACGCCTTATATTCTGTGGGTAATGGTTGTGGATTTTTGCACTTTTACATCGTAAATGTGAAAGTTGTTTTGCACTTTTATGTAACGATCTAATCATAACACTGTGATATGTAATGTACATGTTTATTTTCTTTATTAATTAGTCTCAACGAGTTTAGTTTATGCAACTCTTTTGTATTGATTTACTTTACATGTAGTTGTTTAATCATAGCTCAGTGTAGTAACCATATTTTATCATGGATTTTAAATTCAGCTAAATATGTATATAAAGTATTAATCAATATTATAAGATTAAAATTTTGCATTTGTATTCCTTTGTTTTTTAGTTTGTCGCTCTGTAGTAGGGTATTCTAGTTTATTTACTCAGTTTATGTGTTTGACTGTTCTCTGTAGTTAATATTAGGTTCAAGTTAAGAATTAATACAAGTCAGAGTTCAATTTTTCTAAAGTTTTATAAATATTGTGTATGCTGTATTTCATTAAACTAAATTAAGAAAGTCACCGTTCTATTATTTGTACCCAAGCTTCTATGTTCAGTCGTCTGATACTCCAGTGCATTACTGGCTTCAATGAGTTACTTTTAATCTGTTTCTTTTAGAGATAAATCACTGGTTAAAATGTTTACTAAAAACATTTAGTCTGTTTGTCTTCCCATCATGCAAAAACTGATTAAGCTAAAAATTACACTAGGTGTACAATGTAGTTGTCTGATTGCAATATTGAGCGGTGCTAGCATATTAATCCAATAATTTTCAAAAGCCAATGCTACATATTTTTCTCGAAAATGATATCCTTACTTGCACTATCTAAAGTCAATGGAACATGTAATTCACATTAATGAGAAATCTACTTACAGTATCCAAAGTCAATGGTATCACACAAGGGGTTCACATAAATGGAATGTCTATCTGCAGCATCCAAAGACAGTTATAAGTCTGGTTCACGTGAATGGTCTACTTGCAGTAACCAAATTCAATGTTCAATGTACATTTGGTATAAGCACTTAACTTTGGGGAAATGCTAATAGCCTACTTCAGTAACCAGCATGCTTTATGAAAAATCAATCAATCAATCAAACATTGAGATGGGGACGCCACCAGTTTCTTTTTTTTTTATAAATGTATATGATATCAAATTCTAACTGTTGCTAAAGAGGAAGTATTGCCCTAGGGTGCCTCAGGAAATTGTATAGGAGAAGGCTACTCCCCAGGGGGTTTGTAAAGTACAGGAGAGAGGAGGTCTGGAGAAAAAGAGGGCTTCAAAAATAGGTTTTATTGAAGTTTTTACAAGATGTTGCACCAGAATTAGTGGAGTTACTCATACTCTTTGTTAGCTTAAAATAAATAAAATGCAAGTGGACTTCTTAAAATCAGTCACATACTGATGATGAGGAAAAAAGGTTAACCATCATCTA